CCATTGCCTTCCCTTTCTGATTAGGAGTGGGGAAACAGAGCATTCCCCAGCAGCTGAGATTGTGGTTGGTACTCTGAGGATTCAGCTCTGCCGGAACTGTGGAGCCATGCACAAAACCTATGAAAAGCTGGCTACCCAGTATCTCGGGTGGGGCGGGGGGCGGGGGGATCAATTCAGAGACCTGGAGTCTTGGGAGGAACTGTGAGCAGGAGAGGACAGACCTAAGCACCTCCTCCCCACCACTCACCTTGTCCAGAGCAGCTCTAGACTGGATGCATTGGACTCGTGAGGCTGGCGGGACACACACACACACACACACACACTTCCTGAAGGAAGTGGAGTTTGACTAGATGAAGTGAGGAGGTCTGTGGGATTGGGGTAAGGTCCAGAAATGGGTGTTCTATGCCTTGTCCTGCAGAGAGGTTTTTCCAGCATGGCTGGCAAACTGGAGAATAGCAGACATCTGGACTCAGACCCCTTACAGAGGCCTGGGGGGTTGGGGGTGCAGGAATGTTGTGTCCAGGGCTGGCTGGGCTCAGGACCTAGAAGGGTTTGAGTCTATACCAGGCTGTCTATACCAGGGTCTATACCAGGCTGTCCAGTCTCCCTGACCTCCACCTTCCCCAGGAAATGGAGTTCTACATGCGGACCTTCAGCCACGTGCGCCCAGAGCCCCCGGGCCAGCTCAGGCCTGCTGCAGTGAGTGCCAAGTGAGTGCGATCCTGACCTCTCCAGCTGGACATCTCCCATTGGCATGGCAGGACCGTCTAAGGTGGGAGAGAGGGGTAGGCCAAGGCCAAGGCCAGGCCAGATCAATGCCCATCTATTGTCTGCTGGGAAGGGAGGCTTATAGGAGAACCTCCAACTGGCTGGGATTTGAGGGATCATTCCCATCCAGAGCTTACCCTACTGCCCCCCGTCTCTCCCGGTTCCCTGCCACCAGCGGCCAAGTGGAGCCTCCACTACCCTCTTCTCCTCCAGAGACTCTGGCTCTGCCCCCCAGGATCCGGCCCCAGGTAGGGGGTGCTGTGCTTGGCCCCTGCCCCGGTGGAAAGGGATGGGAAAGGAGCCGCTACCCTTCCTCACTCCTCTGCCTCTTTTGGCGATGAGGGCCCTGGGGCAGGGGCGCTCAGCCTGCCTTCTGTCTCTGCAGAAAAAGAGGAAGCCGGGTGAGGGCCCTTCCTGACTGGATCCTGCACCGGGAGCTCCGAGGGAAGGAAAGGTAGGGGCCCGAGCCAGAAACAGCCCCTGGTCTCACAGTTCCCTCCACCCCCGCAGGGCCCCCGGTCCCGGGCCACCGCTCCAGCTCGTCGTCGTCGGATTCTCAGGGCGCTAGCCCGGTGCTCGTCGCTGGCCCTGCAGGCGCCTTCCACTCGGCGTCAGCGGAGTCCATGGACGAGATTCCCGTGGCTCAGACGCGCCTGGGCAGCGCCGCGCTGGCCGCTCCCGGAGCCCGGGGCCGAGAGCCAGGGCTGGGGCTGCAGGCGCGTGTGCCTGCTGTGTTCGTGAGCCCGAGCAGTGGCGAGCCCAGGGTGCGGGGCGGCCCAGAGGCCTGCCTGGCTTAGCGGGGCCCAGAGGCCGAGGAGCGGCTGGCCCGTCTCTATGCAACACCTGGACCCTCGCAGACCCCGTGCACTTTAGGAGCCCCCAGGGCCGGCGGGATCGGCCTCCCTTCCCCAGGACTCAGCAATACCTGTCCCACCGGCCATGATGCTCCAATAAACTTTTCTATGCTTTTGCGGACTTACAGTTTACTTTCTTATTAGCAAGGGCCGAGGGCTCACCTGGAGTTGGACCAGTTCCCGTCAGCCCCTGGCGGGAGAGGATGGGGTGGGCCTTATAGTGGGTGGCAACCCAGATTGTCCTATGGAAGTAAACGGAAAACGGAGGCCCCAGCACAGGGCTCCTGGTTAGGAAAGATCCTGGAGGGCTGCTTGGAGGAGGCCATTTTTCTTGAGTTTTCGTGTGGAGACCTGCGGGAAGGAAGGCTTCACGCTCCGGAGGCAGCAGCGGGAGCAGACCCTGGGAGTCCTGGAGCTTTGTACTGGTGGCGGATGGCCGCCAGTGTGCCCGGATGCTGGGCTGGGCACTCTTGATTCCCCTGTTGCCCCCTTTCTCCAGTCTCCGGAGTTGGGACCTGAGGATGCCACACGTTAATTGGCGAAGCGTGGTCCTGAGCCAGCTCTAGACTCCACCTGATCCTCAGCCCTCTATTCTCCCTCCCCGTTGCGGCTGTGGGAAGCTGGATCTGTCCTGGAGGCAGAGGTCTGCTTTGAACTTTGGGTGGGGCTCAGAATGGGGGGCGGCTTTCCCATTAGGGAGCCGTCGAGGACGTCCAGAACTGCAGAGGGCTGGCCTCCCGGCCCGCACAGGCCGCGGAGCTGCCGGGGAGCAGACGGAGGAGGCTGTAGCCGCAGCTCCGCCCCTGCGGATCGCGGAGCGCCGATGGGGCGGGGTCCGGTGGGTGGAGCCAGCGTGACCTTGGTCACTCTGCCGAGACAGCCCTGGGGGTGGGACTCGCCGTCTCTATGGAGACCGAGAAACAGGGGATAATACAGCGGAGCCGCCCGGGCTGCAGTCCCGCCCCAGAGCCGGCAGGGAGCGGAGCTGCAGAGCCGCCCGGTCTCCCGCGTCAGTGGGTCCGTTCTTGTGTCCTTCTGTCCGTCGAACGCGCACTGCAGGAGCAGCCACGAGGTAGAAGTCGGTAGGAGACCCGGGCGCCGACCACCCTAACCAGTAACCTGCATGATGAGGAAGGGGTGGGGGTGGGAGCGGCCTGGAAGGGGTCCCAACCCTGGAGGATACTGAGCTGAGGACGCCAGCTGAGCTGCCCTGCCCCGGCCCCAGCGTTCCGCCCCCTCCCCCTCACCTCCGTGTTGGGCTGATTGATGACTCCAGCTGTCCCAGCGGGAGCAAGCTGGTGGCCCCAGTTCACGGGCGTGGCTGCCCCATCCATGGCCTGCAGACCCCTGGGACTACATACAACCTGTGACCCGGATCTATCTGATCAGCCTGAAATTACTGAGACTCCATCTTCCCACGGAGAGGAGTGAGCTCTGGCTGGATGCAGGATCCTGCCAGTCCCCTAGCGCAGGACAAGCATTCTATGGGAGGAAGCTCCTCTAGACTCTATCCTTCATGAGCCAAACGCTGGGTCTCTGGTGGGAGGTGGGAGTGTAGGGAGAGGGAAGGTTCGTGCAGGACTGGGATTGTGGACAGAGTCCCTGCGATGTAGCAGCTGTGGCTGCTTCCAGTCTTAGAAACTGCAATTTAGGGATGGATCAATGGTAGCCGAAGAGGGGGCCCGGCCGTGCTCACTGGAGACTCTAGTATAAAAGGCAGAGTTATAGGATGGTTGCTGAGGACATGACGGTGGTCAGGAGATAGTGGAGGAGGTGGGTGTGCTTGTGCAAGTGGTCCCAACATAGTACCTGCGAGTCTAGAAATGCAAGTGTATGGATACGGACTGGGGGGCTTCAGTGTGGGGCTGAGATTGTGGGTGGGCGGATAAGGGGGGGCAGTATATGGGTGTGATCCGGGTTGAGGGGGTTATAAGGCTTTGGGGTCTCGGAAGGGCTGTGGGTGTGTGGATGGAGGCGGCTCTGTGCAGGGCTGAGGGTGTGGTCAGGGAGGCATCGGTACAGGGCTGTGTTAGGTTGCACAGTGCAGCATTGCGGGTGTGGTCAGAGGACTGCAGAGGGCCTGGGAGGGTGTGGGGAGACCATCCAGTGCAAGGCTGAGGGTATACTTGGGAAAGTCTTCGATACAGTGCTATTCATATATGTCAAGGGTGAATGCTGAGAGAATGGTCCAAGCCCTCAGTCTCAGGGCTGCGGGTGTGGTCGGGGAGGTCTGAGTACTGGGTGAAGGGTGTAGTCAGGGGGATAAGGCTGAGGGTGTGGAGGCCAGGTTGAGTACAAGCTGTGGGAGTATGGGTTGGTAGGCAGTGCTCAGGGTGTGGTCAAGGGGCTTCAATGGAGGGCTGAAGATGGGGAAGTATGCTTCAGTGCAGGTGTGAGGACCACAGGGCCAAGGCTACAGTCCCACTGGCCAACATGCCTCTAGGGGCTCATAACCCCTACCCATGATAGCCCCCCAACCTCCTGCTCCTCCTAAACTCCACAAATTGGGAGGTTACAGCCCCAATGGGTGGCAAGGGGCCAGGAAGCCATGGCTGTGCCCCAGGCACTGGGAGTGCTGGTGTGCCCCACCCGTGGGCCCCTGTTCCCCAGCCCGGCCCAGCCCAGCCCAGCAGCACTGGGAGCTTCTCCCTGAGCCACTCTGACACCATCCTGCCCTTAGCAACATTCTCCAAGTAGCACCACCTCCCTTAGCAACAGTCTCCAGGCTTCACAAACTGTGGCCAGGCCAGCTCTAGGCTCCTTCCCCCTCATGTTTTTGTTTAACAGCAAATAGTAACAAGGTCCCGGCTGGGCCAGCTGCACCCCTGCCTAGGGCATGCACCCCTTCCTGTGCTCTGGCTCCCTTCTCAGCCTGGGCTGGGTCTTGCTGGATCCTTATGACCCTGACAAAGATACCGTCGGACTAAATACCTGCCCAACTAGCAAGCCAGCCTGGCCCTGACCCAGCTTGGCATGGAATGCCCAGGGAGGGAGGCCTGATCTGCCATCCTCACTTCCACCCAAGCAGGCCTTGTGCCAAGGCCAGACAAAGCCATGGTCCCAGCAGCTGCCCTCACAGTCTTTCTCGACAGTGCCACTCTGTTCCTAGCCTGGTATGGCATCATGATTTCATCTGAACTCCACTCCAAGCCAGGGCTGGCCTTAACAATAGGACCTTTCCTCTCGAGGCCCCGCCTCAGGGCTCAGGGGCCCCTCTCTGCTGGCAGCTCCTGCTCCAGCTCTTGAGGGTATGTAGCTTAAATGCCCCCCAACTCAGACCTTGCAGGTTTTGAGGTAGAGGCAGTAATGCTCTGTGCCTTGGGGAGGGGAGGAACAGCTTGTCTGGGAAGTGACCAAGGTGGGTCCCTGTAGGGTGGCATGGCAGCGAGCACAGACGTGGCTGGGCTGGAGGAGAGCTTCCGCAAGTTCGCCATCCATGGTGACCCCAAGGCCAGTGGGCAAGAGATGAACGGCAAGAACTGGGCCAAGCTGTGCAAGGACTGCAAGGTGACTGATGGAAAGACTGTCACAGGGACTGATGTGGACATCGTCTTCTCCAAAGTCAAGTGAGCCCCCGGGAATGCCTGCTTCGGGTGATCCCAGAAGGTGGGGAGTTGGGGGGCTGGAAGCAGGGAGGACATGGAGAAGGGGGAACTCATGGTGTCCACATATCTGCCAGGGGGAAGTCTGCTCGGGTCATCAACTATGAGGAGTTCAAGAAGGCCCTGGAAGAGCTGGCCATCAAGCGATTCAAGGGGAAGAGCAAGGAGGAGGCTTTCGATGCCATCTGCCAGCTGGTCGCCGGCAAGGAGCCAGCCAACGTGGGCGTCACTGTAAGTGCCCTGTGGTCTCAGGGAGACACTGGGGGGTGTGGGGAACCTCAGCTGGGGGTGGGAAGGGCTGGGCTCCCTAACCAGGTGCTCCTGGGGAACTCTGTCCAAACAGAAAGCAAAAACAGGGGGTGCTGTGGACCGGCTGACTGACACCAGTAAGTACACGGGCTCCCACAAGGAGCGCTTCGACGAGAGCGGCAAGGGCAAGGGCATCGCCGGGCGGCAGGACATCCTGGATGACAGTGGCTACGTGAGTGCCTACAAGCATGCTGGCACCTACGACACTAAGGTGAAGAAGTGAGGCCTGGGAAGGCCCCCTGCATGGCTGCCCCGGCCAGCGGCTCAGGCCTTGGCCGAGGGGGTACGTGGAGCAAGAGAGCCCAGTCCCCTCCCTGCTGGACCTGCCGTCCAGAGCTTCCTGCCCAGCCCCACTGGGCCAGCCCACCAGGCCTCTGACCCAGGCTGCTCTGTGTCCCCTTCCCCTTTCCTCCATGACTTCTGTCCCTCTGGGGAGAGTCTGTGCCTATAGCCTCACCACCCCAACCTAGCCCTGGGCATGGCTAACCCCTGACTGCTTGCCTCATATTTAAGCTGCTGCTCTGGCCAAGTGCCTAATTCCTACCCAGACCTCAATAAAGACACCTTTTGTATCGATATGGCCTGGTCAGTTATATGACAGTGGGGATAATGACATTCACACCCCACTGACCCTCAGTGTCATCACTCCCCTGCCTCTCATACTGCTGATTCTTCCACTGGTGGCCCTGCCCCCCAAAGACAAACACATCTCTTCCATCAGCACAGGCCAGGCTGCCCAAGTTGCTCCTGAGGGAAACCCAGAGCCTTCCTTTCTGCAGTGAGGGCCTCAGTCTCGGCCTCTCTGCTTTCACAGCAGGAGGAGGGATGAGACAGCAGATCTGACCTGGGACAAGTGTTGGCAGGGGGCTCAGTGCCAGGCTCAGCCTCAGGCTGCTGACAGGCCCCTACTTCCGGGGGCTACCAAGGCGAGCCATTCTGGGCTCCAGCTTCAGAATATCAGAAAGTGCAGGAAGGACCTTAGGGGGTAGGTAGTCTAATTCCCTAATTTTGCAGCTGAGGAAACTGAGGCCCAGAGAACAAAGGGGCTTCTGCAGGGTGGGGGGTGGGGGTGGCGAGGGCAGAACCATGCCCCAGCATGATCACCAAAAACGGGACTGGATGGCCAGTGACAGAGCTTGGCACCCAACACCAGCCAGGGGAGCAGAGCATCCAGCAGTCCAGGGCCTCTTCATTGCTGACTCCCTGTCAACATCCCAGACTGGGAGGAGGGTGGGGGCCTCTCCGGTCCTCTCTAGCTCCTGAGAGTTTCTGGATTAACCTTTTCACCTTTTCTTCTGAGTTATAACAAGGCCAAGGCTTTGGGGCCAACTCTCTTCCTGCTGACAAACAGGCTGGATGGGGCTGAGTGCCTTCCGAGGAGAGAGTAGCTCCCAATGGAGCTAGGAAAAGGCTCAAAGGTCTGGCTAACAGGACAAAGTAGTACAACTGCTCATTCCCTCATCCCACAGATTTCTGGGGTGTTCCTGCCCCAGGCTCTCTCGCTGGCTATCCAGCCCCATCCTTGAACGCAAGTTCTCTTGGGAGTACGGGATGTAGAGAAATAGTGTGGCTCAGGACAGGGAAGCTGGGGGGTGGGAGGTGGCGATTAGAGGATGGAGGATGAACCCCTGGCCACAGTAGAGCCCGGCCTGACAGCTGTCAGCGGTGGGCTCCTCTTCCCCATTAGGCTGACCACCGTGGCCTCGCATTGCTCAGGGAAGAGTTTCAGAGATCTCTACCTCTCACACCGCCAGGTAAAAATTATTCCTCTAACCTTGGGGAATTTGAATTGTAAGCTTACTTACATGAGCATAATGGGAGTGAAACTCAAAGCCTTCTAGCTTTCACTCGCTAAAATATCCTCTTAGTGCAAAGAATTGAACTGGATTGCAAATTGGTCCAGGCTATTAAGTGATTCAGTGAGAGTACCATCAACCAGTAGGGAAGCAGCAGCTCAGCCCTCCTGTGGCTGGCGGTGTGGCTTCGGGGAACCCAGAGAGAGAACTGGCTGAGCCCTGAAACTCCTTGTAGGAGTAAAGCCCCTCCTCTGGAAAAGTGGCCGTGCAGCCTGAGGGAAATCAAGGCTCATCTAGAGCCAGGAGGACCCTTAAAGACCAACAGGCCTACCAGTAGAACCCAAACTGCACTTCAACCTTTAGTTATCACTGCTCCACCCTCCATAGCCCCCTCATGGTGGAGAGCTTTGGGTACCCTTGCTAGCAAAGCCACGTGGGCAAGGAAGAGTGGTGAGGGTCATTAAAACTTACATGTAGCTGGAGGAAGGCCAAATCTGTCAGAGTGGCTCTGCCCCACCTTTGGGGTACAGCACTTGCCGGAGGGCCCGGCCCTGTTTCCTTCTTTCTCCCAGTAATGCAAGGCCTTGAGTGAGGAATTCCTTTTTACCTATTTTCCAGTTGCTTCAGGAGATTTATCTCCACTCTCCATGTTGAGTTCACAGAGTTCCAACAATTCTTTGGCCCTTCCCTTCACACCTTTAACCCCTATCCTCACCCTGTGGATCAAGTACCCCACAAGGCAGGTGAGGAACACAGTCAACTTCCCTAAGTGTGGCCATCAATCCTGGAGAGGTGCCTGGCTGGGGCATGGCCAGCCACTAGCAGTGACATTAGAAAATAAGGTGACTGCCTGGATCAGGCATTGGATTGCAGTCCTTCACCCTGTACACTCTCTGGCTATATTAGCTATCTGGGCAATCCTGAAGCAGAAACACACCTAGAGCCACTTTCATTATCTCTTTCCATTGATTTTTAAAATGCCCCACCTGTCAGAATTGAAAGAAAAATGGTGCCTTTGTCTGAAATACAGAATACTCATGAGTACAGTGGATGCTGAGCCCAAAGCTAACACCCAGAAACTGCACCTCTGGTCTAGACTTCACCAGCCTTTTCTCTCTTCTCTCTAGCTCCTTGCTGTCTTCCCCCTCCCCCCATACACACATACAACCATCACCTGATTCTTCTTACAACGAAAGCTTCTCAAACACAAATCTGCCACTCCCTGCCTTCCCAGTGTGAAATCCCCAAGGAGCCGTGCTACCTCGTTCCTTCCCACTTCATGGAATTTACACATGCTGTTTCTCTCTGCAGCTCTCCCCATTGCTTCTGCTTTTGACCCTGTGCTTTGCCTGGTAACCTTCTACTCATTTCTCTGGTCTCAGTTAAAAGAACATTTCTTTAGGAGACATTTTCCTGACACCACACCTCCCAGGCATGGACTGCTCCCCCATTTATATACTCATGGCACCGTGACCCACATCTTCCTTGCTCTATGATCCCTCTGGGGCTCCAGACTCTTCCACTCTTGGCCTGAGAAGGCTCTGCACGTTCCCATTCCACTCTTCTGCAGCTTCCACTCAAACAAGATTTCAGTGATGCCTTCAATTCCCCAGGGTATGGATCTCTCTCTCTCTCTCTCTCTCTCTCTCTCTCTCTCTCTCTCTCTCTCTCTCTCTCTCTCTCTTCCCTCCCTCCCTCCCTCCCTCCCTCCCTCCCTCTCCCTCTTTCTCCCCCTCTCTGTCTATCGCTTTTCAGGGCATCTTTAGGCTTTTGTTTAGACCTGTTTGGCACCAATGCCAAGCTTTGAGCTCTATCACACCAGTTTGTGCTTTCCTCCCTGACTGAATCTCCAGGGCAGACACCAGATCTTTTTATCTTTCCACTATGGTGGAAGAAAACTAAAAATATGTTTGATGAACCAATCCATATGAATTCTCTGAAATTTCTTCTAACACAGAACACACCTGGTCATGGGTGTTCTTGTTAAATGTCCTACCACACAGTTTCAAGTGACACTTGGGGGAAATGTCTAGTGTTTTTTCCTATTAAACATTTTCAGCCAAATGCTCCTATGTGATACGATGCTAGGACTAAGTGCCAACTATTTCTGTGGGCAGAAGAATGACTTGATGGGAGGAGATAAGACAAATAAAGAGAAGGACCAATACGATGTAATCAGAATAATATTTTTTTCTTAATCTTGTGGGTAAATACCACCACACTGGTGGGAATGACATGGACAGTCCCCTGTGGCTGAGAGGGAAGCTGCAGAGAAGGTACTCAGTGCTAGCTAGCTCCATAAACTAGGCTCTGGGACAGAGTTTGAGACACTCTGTATTAGATACTGACCCGTGTCATGTGCCCCTGGGGAGGAGGAAGACAGCGCGCTTTTCCCAAAGGGTGATGATCTCCCTAAGTGATGACTCTTCTCAGGAGGCAGGAGTGCTTTCCCAGAATAACCTTTTTGCTCTTTATTCAGCTGCTGCAGCAGATACTCATTAGTTACCACCAGGGATCTGAGGCACGGGGGAAAAGGCAGACATGAAATCATAAAAGCAAAGTAGATGCCATTCAGACCTGTAATGTTAGCTAAAGACAAATACAAAATATAAAAAGTAACATCTTTAAATAGAACTGTCCAGTTTATGAGTGGATTCTTTTAAAGGCAGGTCAACCGTTTCTTTCTTCATTATGATTCTGTTTATGTTCCAGACTGACTGTAGCAGGAACATAGTTCACATTTTATACAGTGATTGCTCTATCCGTTCCAAAGCACTTTCATGATGAGGTAAGTAGAAGCACTGGGAGATTGGCACCTGACCAGGCCTCCAATTTCTATCTCCAAATTTTAACTCCTACTTCTAATCTACACTGCCTCTGCAATTACCTAGTGGTACTAGTCATCGCTATACTTTTGGACTCTGAATTACCTTGTAATGTTAAAAGCCATCAGAAACTGGCCAAGAAAATAAGAAAGTAAAAAATGATACATGCACGCTATTCATGGCAGCACTGTTTGTAACTACAAAACCAACCTAAGTGCCCATCAATAGAGAAATAATTAAACAAAAACACAATGGAGTCCCATCCTATATAATAAAGAGCTAATATGCTTATTAGACCAAACAGCAGAATGACCATCCAAACAAAGTCGGGGCTGCAAGGGGGGCTGCGAGGACCCAGCTTCTTGTACGAATTCCGTGCATTGGGCCTCTAGTACAACTCTAAAAGGGAATGAGAGCCACCTCTATACACCACTGTGAGCTGATTGCTTAGATAAACTGTTAAAGTACCATTATGCCTCTTTTTATGTACTAGAGTGCCCCTCTACACACCACACCTACAGTGGAAGGCTAGTGGGAGGCTAGATTTACCTGAATTTACCTCATTTTGTAGATTTGACTTTGGGATCGTGTAAATGTTTTACATAATTATAAAACAAAATTAAATAAAAAATAATGGTAAAAATTTCCTATGAATCAAAAGCAAATTGTAACAAATTGAACCTGTATATTGAATTGATAGCTTAACAACACAGGGAAAAATTATTTTCAAGTTACTTTAAAATATAGCAATTTGACTGTACATCACTAAAGAGATGCACCCTAATGTTCTCAAAGTGTTGTCCCAGACCACCTGAAACAGCATCACCTGGAAATTGATGAGAAATGCAAATTCTCAGTTCCCAGTCCAGACCTGCTGAATCAGAACCTCTGGGGTGGGGCCCAGCAATCTTCATTTCAACAAGTTTTTCAGGAGATTCTGACTTCATGCTACTTG